TTAAAGACTGTAGGTTTGACTATCTCATAGTCATTGTTGAAATAAGATCTAACTTAGGAACCTATCATCATTTTTGTGTTACTGTACTAGTGGCAATATTAGGTTACTTTGTAAAGAAATGAGTAAAACAATATACTTTCATGTATTCACTCTAGCTCTCTTCAAAGGATACTATAGCTCTTGTGAAAATTTATAAGAAAATGAGTATGATCTTGGTACCTAATGTTAGACAAATTTGTTGAATAGGTAGGAGATGAACTAAGTTTTTTCTATTTTTTAAGAGTAAAACACTCCAAATACCTTATTATTAATATATTCATTTATTTCTTGATAAAGAAAACATCTTCATCTCCATTCTCATATTCAATGAGTAATTTTTTTTTCATTCACACATGAGGATGGGTACAATAGTATTAACGCATGTATCAGGTCTCTTTATTGCTCCACATATACACTAAATACTATTTTTATAAAAAAAATAAAAAAACATTATATTATTAAGTATTCAAATGGTAAACATTTTTTTCAATATCAAATATTAAGAATTTAATTATAGTTATATGAATATGAAATGACAATTGAATTAATGTAGAAAAATTATAAAGAATAGTAAAAATATCAAATGTAGTTATAAAATAAAAAATAAAGGAAAAGTAAATATAATTTTTTTATATTATCTAATAAATTAAATTCATTTTAATACTTTGAGAAGGCACGAGTGTTAGAAAAAAAAACGGTAGAAAGCTAAATATATACATACCTATCCGACTTAGATTCATCATAATAATTGTACAAATTTGAACCGAAATGGTCTTATCCATCATAAAATTGTACTTCTGAGTCTTATTTCAAATTATTAACTTTTTCTTTAATGAAATTTACATCTTATTTATGATTACCACTTTTGAAATATTAATTTATTGTTTGAATACATTTCATTAATCCTTATGAAAAACTATAATGTTGAGTTCATTCTTTCTTACTTTTGTACATAGATAGTATTAAAATTCCGTTTTGCATAAAAGATATACTATTAATTAGCATCCATAAAAACTTTTAAGAATTTATAAAATATGTAGTCATACATTCACTAGATGAAATCTATGAAACAAAGTCACATGGTCATTTTTTCAATATGTTCAATTCACCCAGTTAATTAAATAATTTATTATTGTAAGCAAAGGCTTATTCTTTTTAATATGTATTATTACTTTTTATTTTATTTTATGTGACTTTTTTATTATACTTATACCAATATATAATTTATCTTATTTTATAGTTGGATAACTTAATTTGTATATAGTTTTAATTTGTAATAATATAAAACTATAAAACCATTGTAATAATAAAAGATAATTAAATGTCTATATTTCTGTTACTTTTTTATTATTATTATCTTTTAGAAACTATTTCTTCTCTTATCACTCTCATGAATATGAGTTTTACATTGTGATATTAAAATATTATTAAAAATAAAATAGAAAAATGATTTGTATAATAAAACCTTTTATTTATATATATATATATATATATATATATATATATATATATATATATATACACTAATGATTATATTATATATACAATAAAATCATAAAATATAAAATAAAATAAGATTATTATTTCCGCAATATATAGACGTGCGTTTAAATTAACCCGAACTCCCTTCAAACGATTTGAACAGAACAGAACCAGCCATGCCTAATTGCACAATCCCGAAAATATTGCATGATCTGATTGTACGACTCCACCAAGATATACATTACACTGTCATCGTACAGTTACATTATTTGTTTATTTAGGTCTGATTGCTCAAGGTTACTTGCACGTCATTCCTTTTTTTTATCAAAGTATGATGTATGAAAACAATAAAAAGTGTGCGAAAACAAGTATCAGCAGCATGTTTCTGCATAAATCCAGATGACTCTATGTTCTTTTTTTTTTTCAAAACCTGCTGTAATTCTTGTACTTATTACTTCAAAACTATATATAGCACAGTGATCATTATTTTATTTGTTCAAACGAAATGAAAAATACAATCTGTAACTAACAAGTTAATTATGGATGAATAGGAAAGATGCAAAGCAATAATGATTCAAATAGTAGAATGACACATGCTGCATATTGAAAATGTTTTGTTTAGGTAATGATAGTTTAATTAAAGATTATATTTGAATGTGTAATTTGACTAGGCATGGTCTAAAAGAGAAAACAAAAGGTTGTCAAGGAATTGCATGCAGAAAAATGCTCAAGACAAAAGAATGGAACAAGGGGCAAATCTAAAACCGACCAATCGAAAAATGTGAACTGTTAAACAAATTAAAGAGGAAAAGGACTCTTCGATACATCAGAAAAATTAATGTGGGTTCTTTCTTTAGGTGAAGTGTACACATCGCCTGGTTCAGTTGAATTTTCTCCCTCCTCATTCTCAGCCTCACACCTATAGATAATACCATGCATGCAGTCTCTGATCTATTGAGAGTTCTAACACCTTCAACTTCCTTTCTTTCTTTTCATCCAAAATTTGATTTTTAATTTTTAGCATTGATAAACAGATACTTTTTCTACAATCAGAATATCAGGGTGTGATGCAGAATTAATATAGCATTAGATTGAAATTGTTATAGCCAGACAATACAGTTAATAGTTAAGAAGATGAAAAGAGAGATTAAGCATATGAGTGAAAAGCATAAAGGGACCACGGATGAATAGAATGTGTTTGGGGTTGGGAGGCCCCTTCTTGGTAGCAGCAAGAGGAAGGTGAGTGAAGAGATAGCATCCCCACCAACTCCACCAAATTTTCTTTACCATTGGGTCTTCTTCACTTGTGTCCTTGTTATTTTTCTCCCTGCAAACCTACGTTACATCTTTGTCACACACAAACACGAACTTTCTCTCTCTTTCTGATCAAAATGTACGGTGAGTGTGGCTCTCACAGAACTGTTTGCTGAAGTTTCATGCATAGGTACTGTGTGTCTTTTGTGACTCAGACTAGAAGAATGGAGTTGCATGAGAGAGGGGTGGGGTTGAGAAGTGTGATTATGCACTCAGTGATACAATAGAAAACTAAAAATCTATTGTCTGAGAAAAATCTCTAGCTACAAAAAAGAAGTGAAGAAGGGTGGTGAGAAGTGACAAATGGGATGATGTGGATGTAATAGCGTGTAAAGGGATAGAGCTATAAGGGTCGTATGTGAAACCTAGAGACATTAGGGTTCAGCCTGAGGGTTCACTCTTTAGTCTGCTTCTGTGTGTGGTCACTACTCACCTAGCTCAGTAGTGTTTGGGAGTGCCAACAAGAATGTTTTGGTTCTTCTGACTCACTTGGTGTGTAGCCCTGCCACCACCTCTTTTGGTGCCCTTATAACCAATTATTCTTTTCTCTCTTACTTTTCTATTAACAATTTCATTTATTATCTTTTCCTACACTTCCCTACTTTGGATATCAAATCTCTATGCTAAGTACAAGTTTACTTAATGTAATATCTATTTATTTGTTAGGATTGTTAGAATTTAACAGGGACGTCGGTGTAATTTTATTTTTTCGATCATCTAATCACAAAGTATTGTTAATAGTATTTTAAAAAATAATTACTGTAAAAGTTATCTAGATATATGTTTTTTCATAACAGTATAAACAATTTTACATTTTTATAGACTTCTTACTATGTTTTCAGTTGTGTTCTGTTTAAAAGCCTCTCTGGGGAAACTTTAGAAATTCAATTTCTAAAAGAGACAAGAATTTTTGTGAATTTGATGTTTGTTTTTTCAAATTTCATTCACACCAAGCATAAAAAAGCCTACTTTATTCAGTTCCACTTTACTATTGGGCTAGTGATCCCCCAATAAGACAATAGAAAAGATAACCTATAACCCGCCGACTATGACTAAAACAAGTGAATTTCTTTTTAGACCTCATACTTTCCTTTTACCACCCCTATGAAAAATGCTCACTTTGCTCTTCTAATCTGTAAAAAAAATGACTCTCAAACAGCGAAATAGTGGAATGTAGAAGTTTTTTTTAACTTTTAGATTGTACAATCTAGAACTCATTTCTTACTTTTAACTAATACAATTCAAAAATCAGCAAAAATCACTTTTTACTTTTAGATTGTATAATTTAAAAGTCCATTTTTGTTTTCAAATTACATAATTTAAAAATCATTTTATTTGAAAAAAAAAATTCAAATTGTACAATCAAAAGGCTATTTCTTTAAATAAAAAAAACCCTCTGAATTGTGTAATTTGTGAGTGTCTTTTGGACAATTCACAAGTCATTTTTTGCATAAAAAATTCTAAATTAACACAGTCCGAAAGTCATTATTGAAAAATAAAAGGACTTCCACTAAAATACAGTGTGATATGTTCACATCTTTTAAGTTAAGAAAGTGAGAGGTAGAAAATGTTTAACCAAAAAAAGACAACTGGAAGAATGGCGACAAAAAAAGGACCGTGGTGGTGACAACATAGAAGGAGAGGACAGAGACCAAGGGCATTTTTGCCTTTTTACACATCCCATGAACCTGCATGTAGAAATATATAGGTACAAGAAGAAATACACTTGAAACAAAAATACACAAAAGTGATGAAAAACCTGATAAAAAAGCCCAAAACTTAAACTGGACTAGATAGAAAAAAAAATTATTAATCTAACTTAAAAATAATTTGAACTTGCCTACTTAACCTGCTATTCAACTTAACCATACATCAGCTCATTTTTTAAAATAAAAGTTACATTTCTAAATTTTTTTTAAAAATAATGTTACTTTATTAAAACATATACATTTTATATAATTAATATATTAAACTAATTCTTTATAAAAACTAAAACTGATTTCATTACAGTGACTTTATTTTAAAAGCTAAATAATTTATCTTTAAAATTTTAATTTAAAATTATTTTTATATTAATTTAAGTGAACCCAAATAGCACACCATAAGACCAGCTGGAATTAAAAATTACACCCAGACTGGAATATAACCCGGACTGCTCATTTTAGCCCACACATCTTCAAATAATAACTGATGATAACCAGCGGTTGTCAATAAAAAAAATCAATCCTGTCAAATATAATAGCACATGAAGGTCTCATCACACTTGCACATGTTGGGTTGGGTTGAAAAGGCCACAACACCTAACAAGTATCACAACTACAAAAAGTTTATCCCATACCTGCAATAAAACATGTCTGAGATGATAAGTATGTATAACAATTTTGAAAATGAACACAATTATTCGCTGTAGCAAGAATAAGGGCAGATTTAGAAAAGTTCGCACCCTTCAGTATTTCGTTAAGTTACAATGATACACATATACGAAATTAAGAATATACAATGCATACCGCACAATTCTTATTACTTGAAACAAGCGTATGAAGCTGTCACCTCCGCAATAAAGAACATCACTTTCTCCTTTCGCATTTAGTTCCTAACGTTTCTTTTCCGTTATTACGATCACTGAAGATTTATTTACCTTCCAGCTTCAATGATGCAAAACTACTCTGGACTAGTGCAGCAGCAGCACGAGCAGCTGCTGATGCACGATCTGCAGAAGCAATGGCAGCACGCGCCTTCTCCAGTACATCAGAAGATTGAAATCTTGTCTCACTTTGGGCATCTCCAGCGGGAACATCATTATTTTTGTGGGACTGTTCAATTTCATTAATATTCAATGCAGAATTATTGTTAGAAAGGCTGGGAGCTTCAAGTTGTTTATATTCTTGTTTATCATGCACAGACTTGTTAGAAGGTTCCTTAGTACGAGATGGTGAATTATTAGAACCATTTCTGCTGGGCGTATGAGAAAGCGTAACTCCAGCACTAACTTGCTTTGCTCCTCCCTAAGGTAACACGAGAAAATCATGATAAAAATTAAGAAAAGATGAATAAATTCCGGAGACCACAGTAAAGAAGTAGGCAACAAAGTATAATGACTTCAAAAATCTTGGAATATTAGTTCACAACACTTAGTTTAATCTATAAATAATACGTAGGTCAGTGAATTCAAGATTTGGATTTCCCTTGTCTGGAAACAGGCTTCTAAATGTCAAGTTCTAAGATAAACGTGTACATTTGAGTCGTATACAACTCAAAGGAACTCTAAGGCGCTGTAGACCCACATTGATTTATGACAAAGTTAAGCGGTGAGAATCATTTCACTAAATAACTGAAATTATGACTACCACTGATAATAAATGGACCCTCCCTGAAAACAATTTTAGTCCTGTATCATGTCTATGAGAAGGAAATCACCAAACTCACCACCATTAAACAAGCTACACTTGAAAAGTCCAGGAAACTGGAATAAAATAGACACATTAATATTTGAAAAATTGATGAAAAACAGATAACTTCCAGATCTCCTGCATTCACAGAATATCTCACTTATAAACCTGCCCACTTGGTCCTTGTTGCTGTTCTTTACATAGTCCCCAGCCCATATAAAAGGTGATGGTTGTGTTAGATAATCGACAAACAACCTAAACTATCTGACATATACAGAAGATGTGAGGAGATTTAAGACAAATACCCTCAATACCTAGAGTCACTTTCCAATGCTCATAGTAGAACAATCACACAAAGACCAAAGTACCCTGAGATTAGGATTAAATTCTCAGTAATTTCTGGGGTCAGTGTCAGCAATAAATATGGTAGTAAACCATTATAGTTACACAAGTGAGAGCTCATTAGTTATATAGATGCTATCTATTGTCAATGACATGTCATGAATCTAGTAGTAGATAATATTTTTAATGTAAAAGAATGAAGGAAGAAACAAGCATCTACTGATAAAATTACCAGAAGATCTTCATGATTTTTCCGAAATTCAGCCTCAGTTTTAGAAGAATCCCATGCTATATTGTATTCTTCAGCAATCTCCCTCAAGACCTTGAGTTTTACCTCTCCAGATGGAGCAGTAACTGAAAGCTTTTCAATGATCTGAAAAAACCATATCAGATGAACAGCTGGACTAATGATATTATGCAATTGTTTAGAAGCTGTAACAGTTTGCTACTCAGAAGCTGCAATTAGAGATATATCACCGTGCGGTTTACGCCTGAATCAGGACGAAGTTCTGATGCTGCAGAGACAAATTCTTTCCCATATTTAGTGGTAAACAAGTTCTTGATGTGCAATAAGTCTGGTACATCAGAACATCTAGGAGCAGCAAAAATTATACTTGCAATGGCTTCTCGCAATTCCGAGGGGCATTCCCTATCATGTGGAGAAGGAAGGCTTCAAGTTTGACTACAAATATTTTGCTTTAAATTGTATAAGGCGCAACTGTTAGTAAACTCAATTCAGTTATTGAAAATGAATATTCTCTGTTCTGAAAGTGATTTCGTACATGATTTATTTATTTAGTTGCTAATAAGTAACATGTATCATTTCAAGGTTCAGAAATATTAAAGTGCCACATATTACAGTATGCACAGGGTCAATATACTAACACAACACAAACAAATATAAAAAAAGTTATCAAGTATAGGTAAAGTACACTATTCCTCCCTAATGTTATGTAAAAAACAATTTTGCTAAACCAAGTTTAAAACCATACATTGTACCCTATTTAAGTTCAGAAACAAGGTCATTGAATCACAATTTATATTGCAAATTGTTATGCTAATTTTTTAATCATGATTCATAAATTGTGCAAGTGAAGAGAGTATATTCACAAAAGTCACTGAAAGCACCAGTGCGGAGAGTACATTATACAGTTTTTAGCCCCATGAAAAGCAAGAGACCAAGAAGGACATTGGAGAAAATGGTCAGCAGGGATCTCATGGTAAACAATATTATAAAAGATTTATTTAAAACAAACAGAATGGCATTTTGTAATCTAAGTAGCCAATCTCACCCTAGTGAAATCTGTTTTTGTTGTTATTTATTTGATCGATTCATAAATTGTATGAAATTGTACAGTTTGGTGACATAACAAAGAATAACTTGAAATACATCACTTAAATAATGGGCAGTGCTAAATCCAATAATTTTAAACTAGAAAGGGACCTAAAGTCCCACACAACAGAATCACGAGATATAGCTGAATGTTTGAAACCTATATTTAACAAGACTTAAAACAGTAAGGGAACAGCCAAATACCATAGATAATGAGTGAGTGACAATGCGGAACCCCTGTTTTAGAAGAATGAAACTAAAACATCAGATTCATAAAAAAGGATGTGTTTAGTAGTACTCCTTTAGTTTCTTTTCTTTTGTATTGGTGATATGGAATTGCATTGATTCATCCATGTATCGTAATTTATAATAGTCTTAGTCATCCCCAGCTTCATCTCTTTACGCCAGTAGCCAAATCATATCAAAGTCATACCAATTGTGATTCAAATTGCAAATCATAAGATTCTAAGACTATGTTCAAAAATATATATTTTACCCCCCTTGAAGATTCAAAAACGATGAAATCACAAATACTTGGGTTTCAACTGACAATAGAGGCCATCTAATATATTTTTCACTGTTACATTCACCAAAAAACTACCAATAGTGTACACAGACTTTCCCTGTTTCTGATTTCTAATGTATCGAGAAAAGCATATCACTGGTAAAGTTTAGTGAAGCAGAAAGATTCAGAAAGATTGATCAATTTCACATTTGTGAAAAATAGCATGGAAATCACAATCTGATTTGCACGAGTACTAAAGTTCAGGTCCGTTAACCATGGAGAAAATACACAGCATGACAGTATGCGATGTGCCAATAAGTACTCTAATGACCCGAGGACTTACCTCTGGTTCTCAATTATAGGTACACGCGCAAGAACAAATTCACAGAACAACTCCAAGATTTCATATGCAGCCCATATATTTTGTTCTCGTATAATATGCTCCACCTATTTAAATCAGCACATTTTACAAAGGCATGTCACAATACATGGAGAAAAGATCCAGACAGAAACTAACAACTATTAACCAACCCTTCAAGGATTACCCGGATTCTAGCAATTGCCTCTTGGCCAGCCTGCAAGAATTGGCTTATCTCCTTGCACATTTGTTTCAGTTGCACATCTCTTTTGTTCTGTAGCAGCTTAATGCGTGAAATTGCGAGGTTCAGGCATGTTTTGCTACAAGATGAAAAAACAACGAAAAGCCAAATGGTCACTGGTGTACTTCGTAATAGATAGATAGTTCAGTGAACAACCTATAGAACATTCATTAAAATCCAAAGTGCAAAGCAACCTTTTGAACAATCACAATCACACCAAGGACAGACATAGATACGATACATCAACCAAGGATCCGTGCCCTTATCTGAATAGGTCCCTTTCCCCAACAACCCAATATCTGGCTATACACATTGGATATACCTCAATATCTTACAATACATGTTTCAAGAAAGTAAATAAACCCTAAGGAGTCAAAACTGAAATTGAATTTGACACAAAAAAAACATTTCAATTACAATTTGAGCAAGCTTATGAAAAAAGAAGAAAAAATTGCAAAACTAGCTTGAGGAAAGTAAAATCCAGTCACATAGAAAATCCCAAAACCTAAATCATGTAGCTTTATGAGAATCAGAAAAGTGAAATCATATAAGCAATCGGAAATCACCATCGAGTTCCCAAAACGCCTCTGTTAAAAAGCTGGTTAAGAAGTGACATGGTGCCTGTTTCTTAGATACCACTGCCCGTGGTAGGGTGAGACCAATGGAAACAACAAATGTCTCTGCCCTTCAAATATATTTCTCTTCTCATCCATCCTATTACTGCATTGGTTTTTTCACATTTTTTTTAAAGGTTGAAATGCAATAATCACTGGCATATACATCTTGTGTAATACATTGTATTCTGTTAATAAATTTGAATTTAATTTATTTTATTTTAAGTTTTTTAGTATTTTAGTCTAAACTTATAATTGATTTTTAAAACAATATAATTGTATGTAGAATTAATTTAATATTTTTTGTATAGTAATCTCAATAGAAAGAATTACATTATTGTTATTTTGATAATATAGAAATATTATTATGAAAACGTTTTTTGAAAGGAAAGAGAATATTTTGAGAAAATATTATTGTTGGGAAGGAACACAATTGAATGGTTTGAAAAATAAAACTTTTGTAGTAAATTTATTTATAAATCCATTCTCAGTTGATAATTAATATTTTAAATTTCATTTGAAGTTAACTATAAATTTTTAATAATAATATTAACTTGAACTAAACTTTAAATATTATTCTTATTATTCCATATAAAACAACTATAAATCAAATAATCAATTAATATATTTATTTGTAACATCTGTAAACAATATTTGTATATAATAAATAATTAAATATTTCATTAAAAATAATAATTATATAATGAATATAATAAATAATGATTATATTGAAACATAATAAGATTAGTTTAAAATTGCATTGACACATAATATGAAGTGATTGATTAAAATTATATTAAAACATAATATTAAAATTGTATTAAAAAATTTAATCTAAATCTTAAAATACAACAAACCACAAAGTATTACTAAGTAAAATATAATAATTTTTAATAAAAAATATTATCCAAATATAAAAAATATAAATCAATTAAATGAATGGACAAAAAGATAATAAAATTGAAATTGATGACATTTTATACCATTACCCTCAATAAATAAGTTAATAATAATATTATTAAGAATAAAATAAAATAAGTAAACATGCACATAAAAAAAATGTATCATTTTTATATATATTGTTATAGATATAGTTATAGATAAAATGAATTTTAGTTATTAAAATAAAAAATTATTATAAGTAATATTGTGTAAATAAATTTTTTATTATGAGTACTTATTTAAATTTGAAAAGTAATTACTAAAATGATAAAGGTGTAAATAATTATTTTTAATGAGTAGTTATTTGAATTGAAAAAATAGTTACTAAAATGATAAAACTTAAAAAATTAGTTTGTTTAGTATTAAAATTATTTAAATTTTAAAAGTAGTAATTAAGAAAATAAAATTGAAAAAATAAAAAAGGACATAAAAGAGTTGTATCTTCTTTATATATAATTATAGATAATACATAATATATTAATATATAATATATAGTATATTGTTTGTGTTCAATATATATAACTTATGCAAATACTCTTATGGAAGGTTTGTGAAAAATAATGTTCCATTTTCTTAAAAAAAGAAAATTAATAAGAAGAAATTAATGTAAGAAGTTAACACAAACATTAAAAGTAAAATGGTGAAATGATTATAAGAAATGAAACATTTAAATTAAAATTATCTAATATCAGTAACAACATTACAGCCCCAGGATCAAGTGTTCATAATTGATCTAAAACTAAAAGCAACACCAAAATATTTTTAAGCAAAACACATGATAAATCCAAAAATAAAACATCATAACTAAGTAGATAGATCAATATAAATTATTTTTAAATTCTCTCAAACTTTATAGCCTTCTTAAAATAGATATGAGTTGAAATCACTTTTCTCTCAATCTTAATAGTCTTTTTAAGATTTTCTTTTCAATATTCTGTTTTGAGAGTCGAAAATACTTGTACCATTTTCTATCATAGAAATGAGAGTAACATCAAAACTCAAGTAAACACTTAAACACTGGATCTCATCATCAGAACTTAATGTGTAATTCTTGTACAAAATGAGAAAAATTTAGAAAACATATAAAGTGAGATTAGTTAGAAAATTTTTTTACAACCAGATATCTGCTGTCCCATGGAGATTAGTAATCAACAAAATAAATAGATATTCCATATTAACAATGTAAAAAGGAAAATCGCTTATTTTATAGATTTTAAATAGTGTTAATTTAAAATTTACTGGTACGAGTTTGAATAAATCTCTCAAATACACAATTCTGAAATTGTTAAGCAATTACATTAAACTCCACAATATTCAATCTGAGATTCACTATTTGTTTGACAACAGAATAGCAGCTTAGTATGAAAAGGTTGAAGAAATGACAAACAAATTCATTTAAAATAATTCACAAAAAATTGTGTACGAATATTCGTGTAAAATTTATATTATTGTTTTCCTCACTGAACTGTTAATTTCACAAATATTCTCACAAACAACTCACTATAAACCTCATTCAAGTTAGCACCTAGAATCAAGCCATGAGATAATGTCATTATGGACAGCAGAAATTCTGTCATCAGGTTCTCCTTCCAAGATGCCGTGGTAACCTCCTTCATAGATCTTCAGTGTCTTATCCTTGCTAGAAGCTTTCTCATAAAGAAATTGACTCACTAATGGATCTGTCACCTTATCTGCTGCCCCATGAAGAATCAATAAGGGAGCTGAAACCTGCATTACTCTCAATACATATAAATGTCCTCAATTTATATGACAGTTACTGCACACAAAAAAAAAGCAAAAACTAACCACCTTGTGTAATTGTAACTCGATTTCTTGAGTGGCACTTAGAAGCTCCATGCCAGTTTTCAATCGTGTTGGATCATCATAAGAAATAACATTGTAACCAGCCTACAAAGGAAAGAATCAAGTCCTATAATTAGTTTGTACCGTCGTGCAAACTTTTAGTGACTAGTTCTGCATGAAGTTTTTCAAAGTTCACAACAATCAATGATAGAAGATACTTTGGATCGGTTCATGCACTTGAAATCACTATATAAGAATTAAGGCAAGGGTGCATGTCACGACCATTTCAACTTGTAAGCATGGAACATTTAGGGGTTGACAAAAATTACCAACCACTTTTCTCTTGCGAGGTTCTCGGAAAGTTAGCTCAGATATATCTTTGTGTGGGAACAGCTTTGCCTTTGGCATCACTTTAGACAGAATACTTAATACCTTCAAAACTGCAGTTGGCGGTAGCATACCCTCTGCGATCTTCGCACCAAAACAAGAATAAATCGGGTTATCTGATACATATTCAAATATTCTCAAGAAAGGCTAACGGGTTGTTTCATTTTCCTATAGATTGATTTTGGACTCCTTTCCATTTTTAGACAAGCATTAACTTTTAAAATCCATTGAATGTATCAGATACAAATTATAAAGAAAATCACAAACATAAATTATTGATAAGGAAAACAAACTTTAAAACTAGATCCACTCATAATCGGATCATAAAACTCTGTGATACATATTACATTTTTCTTCTCTTTCTAATATTGACAGTGCCTATTGAATTAGGAGCTATTAGTCACACATTGGAGGGTGATGTTTGTCATGTCCGAGGTTTACTGCCAACATATAATTTTGAGGGTAGAACCTTGAGAAAAACAAAAACTGAACCTTTGAGATGACAAAGACGTGATGAGAATAAAACAGTTCAACGCTCTCAAACTATATAATAAGAACATGAAAATTATACTAATGAAGTCGGTGACATGAACTGCAACACAGAGGAATGTGCTTACTTTACACATTGGTGCAACAAGGATTACTCCATCCCAAGTGTTTGGTTCCTTCAAATGTACCTTAAGAGCAATTGCTCCACCCATAGACTGCCCCATAATATATCGAGGCAACCCACTCACCTCAGGCCTCTCTGTCAATTGAAATATAATGCATGCATTTTCCCATATGAAAGATTACAAATTACAATAGTGATCAATATGACATCATGGATGCAAAAAGGTCTTACCTTTGATTTTTGAATAATGTTCTATAACGTCATTAACCAAATCATCAAAATCTGGTATATAACCGTGTAATCCATCAGATAGACCAAAACCTGGATAGTCCATAGCATAAACACCATACCCAGAAGCAGCTATTCTTTTGGCAATACCTGAATAAAAAATCAAATGCTCCCCTGTTACATTTGGCAAGTTTCTAGCTTTGATTAAAAATTGATAGCACAACACACAACAAAGGAAAAATTAGCTACTTCTTAAAATGAAATTGGGATCAATTATATTTTTTACCACTCTAACTCGTGACTTTTCTATTTTGTTTACAATTTTTAAGAAGTTGTAATTTAGTCCTCGACAATATTTTTCTCCCCTGTACAGTCTCTGTTAATCTTTGTTTGCTTTGTCTATTTAAAGGGATCAAAGCAAAACTCATAACATTTAACAGGACAAAATCTGCAAGTAAAACAGACACTCAACTACATTACAAGTGTACAAGAACAAGAACAAAAGCTTTACTCACTTCTCCCAAAAGATGAGACGAGCTACATTGATCATAATACATCACTTGCCTCAACTAAAGACTAAAACTCGTAGTATTAAATTGCAATTTTTTTTTTTTTTAAATGAGAGACCAAATGACAATTATTTTATCATTAGACTGAATAAAAATATATCTAAGGGTTTAGGGCATGCAATTATGACAAACCACCTTCAAAGAAAAAAGTGCAAGTGCTGCCATATCCATGACAAAAACACAAAGCAGCCTTGAGTGGAACGCCAGATTCAGGCATCCAGCTTTTGCAGAAAATTTCCAATCCCCTGGAGTTCCTTTCGTACCACTAATAAACAAGCAACGAAATTGATCATATTTTTCACCAAACGAACAAAAGAACATAGAGATTGTTTGCCAAAAATAGAAAAGGCTTACTTCCTCAGTTTTGATCCCAGCAGGAGCAGCCTAGTTTGCCAACCCAAGACAAACAGGGGAAGAGATTGACACATCAAAATGAATGAGTGATTCTTTAACGAGGCAAAACTCTGAAAGATAAAACCGTGACAACCAAAGCTTTATTGTAAAGATGACAAATTGCCAAGTAAGAACTAACCTTGAACAAGAAATGGTCCAGCTGCTGG